ATGTGAGAAATTTTTTCGCTTCTATAAAACATCAAACATTAAAGATAGTACATATCAATCGTTAATCATTAAAAAACAAGTGGACTTAATAACAATATATTTTTATCGAAAGTTTGATTTTACCAAAGAAATCTTCAAATTCATCTACTGATCATGTCGGTTACTTTCATTTCATCATCATCATCATGATCATCATCATTATCATCATTATCTTTGGACTCTTTTCTCTACCTGGGATAAAAGATACCTGTTAGTAAGCATAGGAACACTTGAGTTTCTACTTTTATCTTTCGTTTCTTGGATAAGACATTTGTCGTCAAAGTTTCTTTTTTTGTCTTTTAAACGTATGTCAACATAACGAAAAACGGATAACAATGTTTGCATTAACAAAAAAAAAACGCGAAGAAGAATTTTTCGACCAATACGCATACCCGCTGAATATATTCGACTCTCTCTTTTTTTTTCTTCTCTTATCATCTCTTTTTGTTTCGTATATAAAATGAGCAGTTTACAACAAGAAAATTTTCATATATATTCATTTTTGTGTTCGTCAAACATACTACATACAAATAGAAACAGAAATTTTCATTTCACTTAATTGTATATGAGCTGGAAGATGGATTTCGCATAGATGTCTTCTGATGCCAGATCTATATTCTTCCAGCTCATATCAATAAGTCACTAGTCATCATCAATTATTCTTTATATACATATAGATATATATATATATATATTGTAAGTCTCATATTTTTTATTGTATTGGACGACCTTTAACTAAGCCGAGAGCTCAAATACAATTCAAATTCAATCAGCTTTTTAATACTTCGTTGTTTTTTTTCCTTATATCATTTCTATTGAGTAGGTTTTTCTTTTTTTTTTCAATTACAATCATTCTTATTCCTTTATCGTATTCTTTTTATTTTCAAACTATCAAGTAATAGACAGTCTCTTTTCTTATCATGACATTGTTCAGGGAGGAGTAATAGTAAATCAAATTCTAATTTTATATTGACGATGTATATATATATATATATGTTATACGCACAATTTGTCTTTACTTTCCCTCCTTCGATGATCGAAAAACGAACAAGAGAAGAAAGAGAGAAAGAATCGAGCTCAGATTGAGTTTCTTGCACGCTCCACTCGAAATTCCCTCATCGTTCTTCGTGTTATATATGTAGTCAAATTTCGCTACAGAGCACGTTTTACGCGAGCATACATACACACGAACAGATTATCAACAGCTGTAAAGTTCAGGGAGAAAACAAAAGCACATCCAGACGAACGAAAAAAAGAAAAAAGTGGTAAATGAAGGCGGCAATATATGTTACGACTCTTCCTTGTTCTCTCTTCTTCTTTTTTTTTTTTTTGATTACTCTTCACGTTCTTGAGTGAGAACAACAGCCGTTCGTTCGTAAGTTTGAGGTTGATCATAATAATGATCGAATAGAGCAGACCTTATCGCGTGCGAATAGACCCATTTGTTGTTTTTTTAGGCTCACAATGTTGTTTTTTTTTATGATATTATATTTACAATCATATTTTTTTTTCTTTATTTGCGTACTCGACTCGACTAAGTGGAGCAGTTCGTCTCACCCTGAACACCAGCAATTGGTGAGATTCAACTCCTCCACTTCTTTGTAGTCGTTCATATCATCTCTTTCTTATTTTATTGATGATGATAATAATGATGATGATGATGATGATGATGATGAATTGTAATGATGACTATACAGAAGTAAACGACTGTTCTTTAGTCAATATATTAATGGCTTCATCATTCTGACAAATGAAGAACAATATATATTTATGGCTTCTATTACCAAAGATTCAAACATTTATATCAATCAATTTTTATTTTAGTATTATTACATATAAAAAAAAAAGAATCTTTTATCTGTAAATATCAATATAATCAAACGAAATATAAAGCATAATTCAATTGAAAATTTGTTTTATTTTAATTTTTAATAGAATTTAGTTTAAAGTATTTCTTTTTTTTTTTTGTTTTGTAAAAAATAAATAATTTATTAATTAATATTAGCAGATTATATTTTTTTATGGCTTCTTAATTTATAAAGTCAAATATTTGAAAGAGAAATTTTCATTGATCTGAATTAAGTAAGATTTATTTACTAATACTTCTATTAAATAGAAGATAAAATTGATAGATGATTGAAAGGATATTCTATCAAAATGAATAAAGAAAAAGATTCAATAAAAAGAACATTATCGAATTCTTAAGTCTTGTCGAAGTTTAATTTTTCAAATAATTCTTTCAATATGCAAAGTATTTTAATCTGTATTAAACTATTCTATATAGACATGTGTCTCTTTCGTTATTGTTGATAGCAAAAAAAAAAAAATACTAACGATTATTTTGATTGATCAAATCTAACTATATACACTTCAGACATCATTTTATCAACATAAGAAATCTGATAGATCATAAATATAATCGAAGTTTTATTTTACATTTTTATTAGACAAATCTATTTTATAATATTCAAGTAAATTTCTATGAAATATTTAGATTGGTGAAGTTGATCGAGAATGTTTCAATACACTTGTTTCATTTTATTTTGTCAAATATTTACAAGAACGAAGTTTATCTTTGTCAAGGTAAATTCGTTGTTTTTTTTTCAATGAAATTTATTTCGTTTTTCTTTAAATATAATTGTTTTTTTTTGTTTAAATAGACCTATATTACGTGCACCACGAGCGATAACATCTGATATAGTTCGAGTACCATTTGTTCAAGATACAATTAATCTTATACGTCGTTCACATCAAACTCATTTTGATTTTTCTGCTTTTATTGATGGTAAAAGAAATAAAAATCATACAAATTTATTAAATATTCTCTTGTTTTTTTTTTTTTTCTATTTCTATTTAGATTATTATAAAGTAAAACATGATTATATCAATAATAATGGTTTATTGGTATCACCAAGTCTTAATTCAACATTACTTAGTGTACTTCGTGAACGTCTTTGTTCAAAAACATATGAAAATAAACCACATTTATTTACTGAACTTAATGGTAATAATAATGCATTTACACGTACATTAATATCACGATCAAATCATTTGAAAAATCATCATTTACCAATTGGTTTAAGTAGTTTAAAATCAAATCCATATTTACTTTATTTACTTAATTATAATGAACAACAAACAACAAAAATATTAACTGATCTTGAACGTTATCTTATGGATATGTTATTTCCACATTGGGATTTTCTTGTTTGTGCTGAAAGTGATGAATATGTTTATATGATATTATTACCAAAAAGTGAACGTGATTTACTTTTATTAAATACAGATTTAAATATATTTATGCATGATCTTATTGCTCATTATTCAATGAATCATATTGATAAGGGAATACCTATTTATGATGATTGTCGTTATGTTATGGATACGTTAATTGATGATCTTGAAAGTCATATTGTTATTGAATCATCATTATTATTATCTACAATGGAAAATTCACAGAATAAAGTCAATGAAGAACAAACAAGTTCGTAAATAAATGAAATCATTGTTATTATTGAATAATTTCAACTTTCAATATAAGAAATACATTCGAGCAGTTCTAGTAAATTGTAGATATGATTTGATAAAATCTCATTCTCAAGAAAAATATATTATATTCTTGTATCTGAGATCAACAAATTTATCCTACCCTACAGGATAGAGATTAGAAAAATTTCACTCAGACAGAATACAAAGTACGAAAAAAAATTTTACCCAGTACATTCTCTATGTGATATTGTTTTGCTATTTATCACTTTTAGAGTCTTCCAATTAAGGTAGGATTAAGAAAGAGTGAGATAAAAACTTTCTAGGGTAAGATAAAGGTTAGAACATTTTTCTTAGTCATAGTACAAAGTACGACAAAAGCTTAATCTTCACGTTTCTATCTTGTATTGTAAAAATGTACATGCATGTCGAATTGAACAGAAATAATAAAAAAAATATACTATTTGCTCATTACTTCAAAATTTTTTTCAATAGCATTTTCTTCAATATTGATAAAACTTGTTTTCATATATACTTGAAATTTTTCAATTGTTTCATATTAGAAATTCTTGGATTAATCATAACATAGAATTTCGAATGATATTTTATAAAAATAATAGTTTATTTATTTAGGTAAATATTCTCAACGACGTCGTCAACGTCGAGATACATTTACTGGAGCTGAATTATTAGCACCTCATCCTACACATTCAACATATATCAATGGTAAAAGTATACCGTCTTCATCACCAATTCCTATAAATCATCCTCTCTCTCACCATTTTTACCAATCAGCTTCTCAACCGACATCTACTGGTTATCGTCGTATATATTCTCCATTAACACTTGATCCAAATAATATATCACATGTTGATCAATTACATCGTCGTTATTCTACATCGGCTGTTGTATCAACACCTGTTCATCATCATAATCTTCAAGTTCCATCTATATTTAATGTTATTCCACCATCATCACAAGAAATATTACCACGTGATGCTTTGAAAAAAATTACCGATCAACAATGGCATATTCCAATATTTTTACATGGTTGTAATAAATTACGTTTAGCATCATCATTACTTGTATCTAATGAACAACAATTAAGAAATCTTTGGTTGGATACTTATATTGATTATACAAAAGATGATAATGAATCAACAAATGAAACAATAACAACAAATGCAACAGTATTACAAAATTTAAAACCTCGAAAACGAGGTATAATCAGAAAGGAATAAATTAAATCTTATTTTTAGTAGTGATCTAAATATAGATTATCTAAGAAAGATAAAGAAAATTTAGAAATTAATTTAATTTGCTTAAGTAAATTTTCAGTTAAATTCGTACTTTATTTTTTTACTGTTACGACACGTTCTACTTAAATTTTACTTCAAAGAAAAAAAAAACAAAATAGAATGAGAATGACTATTGTTCAGAACTAAAAAGTGTTTCAGAAGATTTTTAATTTTGAACAATTTCGTTTATATGTAGATAGAAAAATGATTTCTAATACAATATATTCATATAAATATAAAGTGTATTCATATCGACATGTCAAATGACATAAGATTGAAAGAATTTTTTCAGATTATCTAATTAAGAAATGGATGCATTTTAAATAAAATATAGTCTAGTAGAAACTGATAATGATAAGTGCTCATTTTGATCTTTTATTTATTATTAGCCATTTAGAACTAGTGAAAGTATACATTGAATAAATGATTTTAAATGGACAAATATAAATAAATAAATATTACTACAGAATGAAAATCTTTTTTTAATGCGTAATAGGTTATTTTGCATTTTTCATATTACGTATTTATGTTTTATGACTCATTTAAAATCGTTTAGTTAGTGTATATCAAATAGTTTCACTAGTTAAATGGCTAGTGTTAAATAAAAGATCAAAGTGAACATTTATCAGTTTCTACAAAACTAAGATAGTGGAAAAAAGTTTAGCAACAATGTTTTTCTTTTTTAATATTCTTCTATAATGTTAAGCAATTAGCACAAATCCAAATAGGAATTTTAATAGTCTATAGAGTTTTTTATGTGATGCATTCTATAGTAAGATATATGAACTTTGATGACAAAGCTCTAAAAAAACCAGAGGCGGTAGTTTTCAGATGCTAGAAGACTTTGTCACAGTTAACTTTTAACAATACTATATTAAAGAGAACAAAATGGGGGAGGGATGGGGTCGCTGCATTTTCTACGATCTTTTCTTAATATGTTAAAAGTATCACAAAAACCGAAAAGCGCCGTTTTGTAGTCAATTTTTTGCTAAATTTCGTGTTTGTGGTACTTTTAACTTTTTAAGGAAAAGTTGTAGAAAATGCGACGATTCTTTATTTTGTTCTCTTTAAAATGATATTGTAAAAAAATAGTTCCAACAAAGTCTTCTATGACGGTCTTTTAGAAACCTTACCATCATCATGCATCCATGACATCATAGTATAGAAAACTCTATTAGCTATTAAAATCACTGTCTGGATTTGAGCTAATGACTTAATATTATAGAAAAAAAAATTGAAAATACATTGTTGTAAAAGTTTTTTCCACTGCCTTAGTATTTTATGTAAAATGTATTCATTGTTTAATTCGAAAATCTGGAACAATTTCTGTTGGTCGATTTAGAAAAATTAAATCTCATTTTCTTAACCAAGTTTATATCGATACAAATATATTCATATAATTCTTTATATTTAATGAATAGTATGAAAATTAAAACAATTAAATAAATTACATCAAAAGAAAAAAAAATATTTTATTGATATCACATTAACTAAAAAACTTAGTTTTGTACATCTTCATTGAATTTTTATATGATAAATTAATAATATAATTTCTTTTTATTAGATAATTCTCGTCGACATGATGATGAGACAATATTTCCTTCTGAAAAATTAATTGAAGATATGCGTGATGCACTTGATTATGCTTTTGCAACAGGTAAAAATCTTTTGTTATTATCATTTTAAAGTATTTGATTTGGTTGTTTTTTTTTGTTTAGCATTTTATAAAAATTGTTTACTTGATTTAACAACACATAGATCTGATGTTGAATATGCATTAAATACAATCTATCAAGAACATTATGAAGATATTGATTTAACACCATTTCTTAAAGCAATGTGTTCACATTTATCAAATAATGAACAAAAGTAATAAAAGAAAAAGTGTAATTTTGAAAAAAAAAAAAAACAATTTTTTTTTCTGTTTTTTAAAGATCATTGGAATCTGATACTCTTTGTGAACCAACAACAAAACATATTAATTCTTATTTAAATGAAAAATTTCTTGAAATAATTCATAAATATTTTCATCGTGTATCACCCGATTCGGAATATTTTTATTTTTGTACTGATGAAGAACGTTTTCGACAAAGTCGTAATTCAAATGAAATAGAAGATCATTTAAAAAATAATAACAATAGTAATAATATCAATAATAATAATAATAATAATGAATTACAATCAACATCAGGACCATATAAATTTGATGAAACAAATGGATATGATCATGAAAGTGATAATGATGATGATCGAGATAGTAATGGAACTGTTCATATACATGATCATGATGATGATGTTGATGATGATGATCCAGAATTACAATCAGAAACAAATCGTCGTCGTTCTGATGAATCAGCAAGTTCATTATCAAATCGTTCAAGAGAATTAGGTGTACGAGGTGAAATTTTACCATTATTTATTTTTTTTGATTGTCGATTAGTTACAAAAGATTATGATTATAATACACCAGTTAAAACTATTCCACTATGTATAAGTAAGAAAAAAATATGCATGTATTTAATTAAATTTATTTAATTTTTCTTTAATTTTTTTTTTTGTCAAGGTAATTTAGTTCCAAATGGAAATGAAACGAAATTAGATTATGATAGTGCACGTGTTTCATTTGGTTTAATTTGTTTAACATTTGGACGTGAAGATGTTGATTCACAAGGTGCTAGTATTGGTGGTATTACAACGAATACACCGACATTTAATAATCTATTTATGTCAGCAAAACGATATCAAGAATTAAATGCTATTGAAGCTATTGATAATACGAGTACTTGTACAGGCACAACTATGGGTGGAGAATTAAATAAGTAAGTTATTTAAAGATTAAAAAAAAAGAGAAATATTTTATTTATATTATAAAATATTTATAGACATCCATTGGATAAACTTCGATTATCTGATGCACAACGACGTGCAATTTCATCATGTCGACGAGAGGTTTGTAAGAATTAAATTTAATCGATTGATTAGAAATATTAACAAAATAAGACATCAGAATTGAGTATTGATTGATTAAATATAGTAAAACGACGAATGATATTGATAGACTAGTGTTTATATAATGAAGAGTGTATTACAGTTAAGTTTCTTTTGAAGAAAGTCAAAAAATTTCCTTGAAGAGTTATGAATGTTAGTTAAGAAAAAAAAACTATTTAGTTGATTTATAGAATAATTTAAAGAGAACTACACAATGCATTTAGTCAATTTTAACTCATGAAATCGCTATAAACTTCATGATCATTTTACGAAAGAATTTTGCCAAGTAACAAATCGTTTTAAAACTAAGCCTTATCTCATTAGATATGCTCTACTGAGACTCGAGAAAGACTAAAAAGATTTGTAGGGTTAGATCTTTCTTGTTTCGTCATGATTATGATAGTGAATTTTTGAACAAACTGTCTTGATCCGTTTCAGATCCCTGTCAAACTTCAACTTTCCTTTCAGATTTCAACTTCAATTTTTTTCACAGATAAAGTTCTTGATGGAATTCGTTCGTTGTAAAAGTATGAGATTGTAAAATGTCTCCTATCTGAACATAAAGAAGATCTGAAGGGAATGAGCAAAGCATTTCATTGAAAAATTCATTAAAATAATCATCACTGAAAAAAAAAACAAATCTATAAGTACACATCGTTTTAGTCTTTGAGCGTTGATAAAGTAAGATTTATCTCAAAAGTGATTTTTGATATAAATTTTTGACTATACAATTACTTTGACAATAATTATTTCCTATGAATCGAAAAAAAAAAATATCATTGAAATGAAATATTTTTCAAAAACAAAAAAAAAAATTTGAATTTTAGATCGAATGGCTTTTACGTGATGAACAACTTTCAACATATTTTACTCGTCGTACACTCGATAGAAGATTAATTGAAAATGTTATTGAACATGTTCAAAGTTCAGTTAATATTCATAAATCAAATTGTCTTTGTCGTTCAATTGATCTTATGTTCGTAGTTGGTATTGATAAATCTATTGATCCATTTCTTGAAGTAAAATATTTTATAACAAAAAAAGAAAAACAAAAAAGCTGTTTTTTTTTGTTTTCTCTAAAATTAGGAATTAAAAAATATTCGTATTCGAAACAAATATATTCTAACGAAATGTGGAAATTATTTTGTTTTACTTGAACCAAGTCAACAAAATCTTAATGATATTAATCTAAAACGTAAACCAGGTTAGATTTGATTAAATAATACGAATGAAATTAATTTAATTGTTTATTTCTTTTTTTTTTCATTTAAAAAAAAAAAGCTTTATCAGTGAATTCAAGTGACGATCAATCATCAGCTACTATGGAAGATAGTTCAATTTCTGATGGTTCATTAATAGATGATGATGATGAAAGAAAATCTACTGAAGATGAACTTGATGATTATATGAAACCATCATTTTGGCTTTTTATTGAACGAAAAAAGAAAACGTCATCTCACGTAGATTTACTTGAAGTGAAATTTTATCTTTATTGCGGGTACGAAAAAAAGAAAGACGCATAGACATATACAAATGAATACATCAGAATACATGTTTCTTATAGTATTTTTTTTAATTATCTCACTTAATCTTCAGTTCGATTTCAACGAAGTTTTAGCACTTAATAACGCTCTAACAGTTGTTTCGTTATGTATAACTTAGAAATTTCCTGCTCAAGAAAAAACCTTTGATGAATTTTTATTCAAAATAGAATAGTGTATCTTTTCGGACAAAACAAGTTCAAATCTGCATAATTAAAGATTGACCAAGATACAAAAAGAATACTATGAAGAACATTTATTTTTGTGCAACTATTATTTTTGCTTTTTTTGCAAAAATATCTTCTTTATTATATAGATCATCATCTGATATAACACAAAATTCTTGTGAACCTCAAGCAATATTAGAAGAATTAATTAATGAATTTAATCGATTATGTCGTATAATTAATCAAGTTTGATTATTTTCGATTTTTATTTGTTGTTGTTTTTATATTCTTTATATTTTATATAGAAATTATTATTACGTGATCTAGGAATAAGTGGATTATGTAATGCATTATTAGTGCCACCAAGTGAAAATGATGATACAAGTCTTGATGCTGATGCACCAGTTTTAACAGCTAATTTAAGTATACCACCTGGAACAGTAAGAATTTCTGTTTGTTTTTATTTCATCTAAAATTGATATCATTCAATAAAGTTTGCTTGTGATGAATTATGGAGACATTCATTTCCACTTCATTTTCGTCTTCGTCCACATCTTCATGCAACATCAAGTTTAAAACCATCATCTGTTTTTTATCCTGGTAAAAAAAAATTTTTTTTTTCATTCGATCATAATTAAAAATTAAGACAAAAAAAAATCTTCTTTTTTTTTTGTTTTTAAATAATCTTAGGTTCACTTATACGTGAATTAACAACACATTTTGGTTCATTAGCTGTACATAATAGAAAAAATTTATTTGTTTATTGTGGTGAACGTAGTTATTATTATATGAGATTTCGAGAAGATACTCTTCCACCACCAACAGCTAATTATATTGAAGATTCTTTATTACTTAGTGACAGTAATAATACATTTTGTGCACCACCATCACCACAAATGCCTAATCAAAGTAATGCAACATTCAATAATGCTATGAAAAATCGTCAACGACATGGTTCAGTAAGAAATTTTTATATGATTTAAACTAAAATTTTACTTTTGGACCTTATATATATATATACACGAATGAAATTATAGAAACAATAATGAAAAGTTTTTGCTATAAAATAATTATAGAAATATTAAAGGTTATAAATTGTAATGATCATAGGTAGCATTTTTTAAAAGAATAAGAATAATAGTTGAATTACCAGAGTATACGATCAAGGATATGGAAAAAATGTATCTTTTGATTACATATAACTAGAGATGTTCCAAGATCGCCAGAAATAGGGAGATTGATGACTGAGAAGACCGATTGAAAAATTTCAGTTAAGGTTGAAACATATTTTGAGAATCGTTGAGAAAGATAAACAATAAAATGCTGAAACTTTGCTGGAGAAAAACAAAAATTTTTCAAGATTGGAAGTGAGTCACCGTCTCGACCTTTCCCACTTGGGACATGCTTGCATATAATACATGCAGATAAGGGATCTATCGCTCACTTTTGTAGAAATACACTTTCAATCATCATCATAGAAATCAGCAAAAGTGAATAAACATGTGAGAAACTTACGACGAGATCGATTATTTTGCATTATGCAGACGGATTTCAGCTACGATAACTGAATGATGCCAAAAGCATTACCACCAGTAGACGGTATATTCATAGACGATAGACCAGTGATCTACTATCACCCTGATGACGACTATGCATTAAATCAATGATTTTCTGATAGACAAAGTCTTCTCTTTAATTATTTTGAAAAATATTTTCTATGATGATTCTCATCTTAGTATTGTAAATAAATTCCACCATAGATAATCATATATAGATCCTACGAAAAATATCATACAGTGATGATTAAACATAAATAAATATATATTCAAATCAAATTAAAATTGATCTATCTATAAAGACATACAGTTATAATAATCCATGCAGAATATACTGAATTTTGTTTTAAATTCTAATAATAGAATATTTGTTAATTATTTAAAGTCTCATACAAATCTTAGACAATGTATACTAACTATAATATACAATAATCTCATACTCATTCAAGTATAATTTTTGGCGTTTATATCTTATTGATATTATTATAAATTTGTTAGAAATTAGTAAAAATAGTTTTCTTTTGTTTTTTTTAATATAATAATATCATCAAATCTTAACGAAAAAAAAAAACATTAATCTAGAAATTTCTCAATTGATTATTAATTTAAATGTTGTTTATATTAGGGTAATTTTTGTATTCATGTAATGCTCTATGGATTACAATCTGCTAGTAAGTTTTTTTTTTTTATTTTAATTTCTTGCATAAATATTTAATTATCTGTTAGCTACTGATGGTCTATTTGAATCTGTAAAAACTAATCTTGTTCAATCGATTGTCACTCGATTAGAAGATGAAGTTGTTAAAGAACTTGTCAATGCTTTATATCATTTTGCAATGACACGTTTAAATCCTGATGATGTTACTGTAAGTATTTTATTTATTTAATTAAAATTAAGAAAAAAAAAAGAAAATAACTAATCAACATGCTTGTTTAATTAGTTCATTCGACCTGTTGATAGTGAACCAAAACATATATTTGAATATAAAATTTCACCATTAATTAATACAACTACATTTTTATATTATTTTCGACGTTATGTTAAAACAAATCAATTTCATCAACCTCTTCTATTACCTGTACTTGCTAAAGATCTTAAAGTAAAACAAAAAAATAAAATAACATAATAGAAAAAAAGAACTTGAATTTATGAATTTTTTTTTGTTTTAATAAAATTAGGAAATAATAAAAGATTATCGTGGACAAACATTAATTGTTTATAATCGTACATATAATATTGGAATTCCTCGACCAGGTAATTATATCAAAAAAACGAAAGAAAAATATTAAAAAAAATTTTTTTTTTTTAATTTTAGGTCTTGCATGGATTGAATTACATGTATTAAATCCAAGTAATCGTCCAAGTCCTTTATCAATGGAAGATTTATCTGATGAAGTAACTGTTAAATCACTTATTGATTTAATTCATATTGTTGAACGAAAACCTTCTTCTTCAATAAGTATAACAAGTGAAGATAGTTCGTTGAATTTAATTGATTTTTTTTCATTCAATAAAAATAAAAATTATTTTTAAATAGATTCATCTGAAAATATTCTACGTTGTCATGTTTGGGCACGTGGTAGTCAATCTGAAATTGATCCAACAATTATGTCAAGTACATTATTACAAGCATTTACATTTGCATTAGCTGATTATGTTACTGAACATAAACTTTTACCAACATTTTATAATAATCAAAGACATGGACAGTTCGAACCACCGTCACCATCACCTCGTTCAGTAAATACAATTAGATTTGTGGATGAATCAAGTAAATATTTTGATTTGACTTTTTGTGAAACACGAACTAAAAGAAGTGTTGAAATATCAAAGGTCGAAATTTCTACCTCCCATTAGAATCCGTCGGGTCCGCAAAGTTTTGGACTCAACGGGTCTAGTCATTGGTGGAATGTGCTGAGTGCCCTAGTGACCGAATAAAAATAACCGGAAAAAAGTATCTCGTACGTTTGGGGCGATTATCCAATTTCGGTTAAAAAACTTCATTGAAAGTATCAAAATACGGTTTGATCGAGTCTGGATTTGAAAATTTTCGGACCCGATAGACGTTGTTGATATACAATCGCAGACTGTATATCAATAGCGGCTCGTTACAATATATTAACACCTTGTTCAATGCGTTTCTGGATGATTAAATAAAAGACGAATGAAGAAATGTCTCCCAAGATACATAGAATAAAATAATATTTCTATAATTAGTAATAGCAACTACATCGTGTTTCCCATTTTAATCCTATAGAGATTGTGCTCGCAGCTTTTGTAATTTAATTTATCTTTTGTTTTTAGGTTTTGCTCTTGATCGAAATACAGAAGCTGCACGTACACATAGTGTTGATACAGCTACAACAATGGCAACAGTACAATCGAGACGTGTAAGTTTAAATAATGTATTGTAATTATTGTATTTGTTTTATAAAAATTTTAATGATTATTTATTATGTCCAATATATATAAATTTGTAAAGTTGATTAGAGCCAAATATATTATTCTAGCATTCGACGAATAGTACTGGTGGTATATTTAATATTTTCAATAAAGGAAACAAACCTGTTGGTCCACATTCACCTGTCAAACTACAGGTTTATCCATATTTATTCCTTTTTCACTAACAGCTACATATATTTATATAAATCTGTATATATGTATATATATGAAACCTTTTTGCTTCGGGATTCATTTATCTTTGGTTAACTAGACAAACAATGCTTTTCCTTAAATATCAAACCAACATCAATTCCTTATTTTTTTTTACACTACATTCATTACTTTGCTATGATTTTTTTAAAAATTAATTTATATCATTAATATTTTTGTTTATCTTTTTTTTTTTTGTTTATTTTAAATAGCGTCAAGAATCAGTTCAAAGTTCAATATTAAGTAATTCATCAACTGATGAACCACAATCACTTACAGTTGAACATGCTAATCGTTTAACAGTATGGTTTCAATATTTAAGTACAAATTGTAAGATTATTTAAAAGTTTCTTCTTGATAATTATTTAATTTTTTGTTTTTTTTTAGATCCAAAACTTCCATCTGTAACATGTAGTTCTTATACATTAACTAATCGAATACTTGTTATAGATATTATACATAATTTTACATCATGGCTTCATGAACAAAAAATTATAGCATATAAACATGAATCATTACATGGAATGATATTTCGTTGTAATCAAGAACAAACTTTATATTTACCAGTACCATCATTAGATCACATGGTATGTAATTAAGAATCCAGTTTTTTTTTTAGATTAAAATTAAAATAGTTATCTATTTGAATGGTTTTTGAGTGTGGCTATTACACCATCTGAAGTGGTATCTATCTACTGAGTACAAAAATTTTCTTTAAACACCATAAAAAATTCGACAAAGAAATTAAATTTACGTAACGGAAATAGCGAATCTCATTTTTCTTCAAACCAACTTTTTTCATGAAAAAAGTTCAGAAACGCTCTCGTTTCACCTACCTAGTATGTTCGATCGACTAAAATTTTTTTTCTCGCATATATCATCTGCTATTTGGAATGGGTATTTTTGTTTTGTTTCAAAAAATATTATGGTGTTGATTTTTGGTAACTCTTACGTTGTTTAGGATACTTCCGATATTTTGACTTTTTTTACTTGAAGAACAGTCGTGAAGAAACGGGGAGGCCATCTTTTGTCATTGTAATTCAAGTATCTCATATAAGACAGCATTCAAGAATTTTGAGTTTATGACAACTTTTGTTCTACTCGTCAAGATCTGTTTGTCCCTAAAAATTTCAAATTTTTCTCATGAACCAGTTCTCCAGAAATCCAGGAAACGGAAAGAAAGTACCGTTGAATGTAATATTTCTTTTGTTTTTAGCCAACACGTATTCCTGGTGATAAACTTGATCTTATTGTATTATATCAAAGTACTAAAATGATTAATGATGTAGTTACGGAAAGTAATGAAACATTACCTCAACAAGAATCTGGTGATGCAAGTAAGTCACAAAAAAAAAAATTATTTCATGTATAGAAAAAAACAAAACAATTCTTTTGTATATTTTTTTTTTCTTAGTGGCATTAGCAAATAGTTCCGATATTCCTAAACATATATTTCTATGTATTGTTGCAAGTGATAAAAAAGTAAAAAAAAACAAACATTCGAATAAAGAATTTGAGATTCATATTAATTGTTTTTTTTGTTTTGTATTTAATATTTAGTTAACAATGATTTTATATAATGCACCTGATGAATTATCTAAATTATTAACAAATCATTTTTCAAATATAATTAATTGGTCAAATAAACGTTTAAATGTTTTAAGTATAATTGTAACACAAAAAATGGGTCTTTTTCGTTATCGATCATTTCATTCTGATCAACATTCAGATTATAATCGTCCTCATGGACAACATGGAACAACGAATAAAGTCAGTTCTTTTTTTTTTTTGTTGAAATACATCATTATTGTTTTTTTTTTGTTTTTAGCATCCTATAAAAAGTGATCATGTTGATCTTGAACAATTAATTAAAGAAACTTTACCACCAAAAACAAGAAATACTTATACATCATGGAATATTGATTTACTTTATTGTAATTTAGTTGGTTCATATCCACTAGTACCAAATGATTTAAGTCAAGATCTTGTTCAACGACATGGAACACAATTACTTCAACTTAAAGAAAATAAAAAAATTCGTATGTCTTTTATTAGTTCAATTCATCCAATTACTCTAAAAATTAGAATATATTGTATCAATAGAGAATAAAAAAATTCATCGAAAACATTCACGACATTCTTACAGTGTTGTAATCATTATGGAAGCTGAAAAAATGATATATTTTTTTTGAAGATTTATGATCAGTATATTGGGGAACTATGTGTTCATTTGTCGGCAGAAAAAATCTAGATTAGTCTTTTGTATTTTGTAAGATATTTATGGATACGGTTGCAGCTGAGAGAGAGGAAATAATAGTGGAACGAAAGTTTTAGCTCTAATTCTGACAGATTCTATCAAATTTTCAGCTTCTCCCATTCTCAAAAACAATCGAAAACTCTGTGTATGGTCGATTTAATTTGTAAAAACTTTAACCGTTATTACGCTCAAATAGTTTTTACTTCAGATATTATTATGAAGCCATTTACTGAGAAATAGTTCTATGATAATCACCGATTTTTCCATTATTCAAACGTTTTCTGATAAAAACAGTTGAAGTTTCGAGTAACCAGATGTTACAATATGTTTATTATGACTTTATCGTTTCATAAGTAACTATAGTCCTCAGACGTTTGAATAATGGGAAAATGATCATGATCAGTAGAGGTGAAAGCCGATCACGCTGCTGTCATAACATAAAACTGAATAATTGATTTTTGACATCCAAGATCAGTTTTTAGAGATTCTTTTATTTAATATCTTATCAATATATTCTCTATCATCATTTTTATTTCAAAATTTTTGAAAAAAAACAACCATCGAAAACTTTCCGCCGCTGTCAATCAATGCATTGACTTACATTTCTACTTATTAGACATTAACTATATTTCTCAATCCGACTAAATATAATATAAAACAAGTCAACCAAAAAGTAAAAAAATATTCTAAACTCAAAACCAAAATCTATTCAACTCTCTATTGAAATTGATATCAAAATAATTTCATAGCTTATAAATCTTTATCGAGAAATGTAATTTTTAAAATACAATAATCTATTTTATTAATTAAAGCATCCTACTTATTTTCGATCAACAATAATAAAAATGAAATTTTATTTTTTGTATAATGATCTAGATATGGATCGATGTACTAAACTAGAAGAAATATGTTCAAATTGGATACTTCGACCAAAATTATTTATTGCAGTTAGTTGATAAAAAAAAATGAATAAATTTTATTATTTACATATAAAAACATTCTTGTTTCTTTTTTTTTTTTTTAATATTAAAGGATGATGTATTAACTCAAATGAAACATCGTTCACGATTATTAACAATAAGTGTTGCACCTATACTTTTTTCTCGGATTGCTCGACAATTTTTTCAAAATAATTCAACATTACGTTCAAATAATACACCTTGTTTGGTGAGTAATTATTTAATTCATTTTCTTTAATTTTATTTCTTGCTATTTTTATTTTTTGTATTTTTTCTTTTTATTTTTGAATATTATATAGAAATTCTCTTTTTTTAATTTTTCTACAATAATTTAAGTTTATTTTGTAAAAATTTTGCGAATGCGCAATGTTTATGTTACATATCTATGCTTTCAGGGTACTTCCACACCAGCAGCAGCAGTTGAAGTTTTACCGGCTAATCGCATGGCAAATAAACGAAAATCTGTTGCGATTCCTGTCGATTTTGCTTTACGCCGATCTGTGCAATCGGTTAATGAGGTTTCTTCATTTTTTTCACATGTCGCCGCTACTCGTGTGTCCCTTCTCCTAATTCACATAATATATATATATATATATATACATATAAGCATCGATATATTTTACACAATCCACATTCATTTTATAGTAATAATTCACATTTATTATGAGGTTTATACATCATAATATTTCGGTCTTTGTTGACTGGTGTGGACTACTAACTTTATCTATAATAGTTTTTAACATTTCTTTTGTCTTGGTTTCTTTCTTATTTCATTTCTTCCATTATTATTTCTACTGGTATATGGTTTCATTATGGATATCGATATTATATAGAGGAGATATTCTAGATATATATATAGATCAATGAATATTTTTCTTATAATCGATAAAAATTTGCTTGTTGAAATGCGTCTTGAGTTGTTTTTTTTATTCATACTTTTTTCAATGATTACTTTTTTTTTAACATCACTATTCTATCTGTTAAACAAAATCAGAAGTACACATATTTTATTTGACAGCTGCTATTAAAGCTTACTTAATAATAAACAATAATGATAATAATACAAAAAAGAATTTGTTAATTTTTATTTTATTTAGAGTGATTATCAAATTACTCAAAATCAATTAACACGCTTTGATACAAGTCGTTTCAATAATATTGAACAACAATATATTCAAATAACTACATTATTTATCGAACAATTTTCTAATTATTTACAAACAACATATAAATTTCATCCAATAAATACAAAATTAAGTACTCGAAAGTAAAAGAAAAAAAAGAAAGAAAAAGTTTTTGTTCTAAATTCATTTTATCGACATTTTAAGAATTGCTCGTTCATTACATGTTCAATCATCAAATGAATATAATTTTCATCGTTCTGATCATAATCGACGTGCAACTTTACTTGCTGAATTATCATCATTAAATAATGTTCAAATTGTTATGCGTTTTCTTCAATATGATATTATTAAAATACCAATAAATAATCAATCATTAGCAACAACTCATTTTCGACAAGTATAAGAAAAAAATCAATTAATTTTCTTTAATCAAAAGACTTAATTTGTGTTGTCTATTTTAAATTAGATTTCAAATGATTCATTTTTAATGCTTGAACAAACAGAACTTGATGCATTTGTTTATGATTTTCATCTTCAAACAATAATTCGTTATCAAACAAATTCAAATGATGCACATATATTTCCAGCAGATTTTTCATTAATTACATTTTTACAAGATTTTATTGAATATTATCCACATGCACCAATTGGATCAAAAACTGCATTATTTAAAAGTAAATTTTATTTTATATTTGAAAAAAAAAAACGCAAACAATTTCTTTTTGTTTTTTTTTGTATAGCTGTTATTCATCATCAAATTGATATTAATAAACGTTCAGCGGATGCTTTTTTATTTAAATATATCCTTGACCATGCAGGTGCATATAATATTCAAATTGCAAAAAGAAATTGTGTAAGTTTATTGAAGAAAATAAATAGAAAAAAAAATTTTTTCTTTATTAAAATATAATTGATTTTGTTTTTTTTTTCTATCCATGAAATACCCAATGGGGAAACAGTAGACTTCATGACTACTGTTTCCCCTTGTCAATATCCATATGTAATAGAAGCAATAGACTATAGATGAAACTTTTCACAGCTCATTTCGCTAACATAAGAATTATTTGAATAGATTGATTCTTATTAAAGAAATGTTTAAACGAATTCGATTATGAAAATAGAACTTTTTCAAATTTGGTACTAGAAAAAACAACACTGTACAAAACTTTATATCTATTAAACTCTAGGAGTAAGGCATATGAAATTCGAATTAGCTTGGTTAGAATTCTATAAAATTTAAACGAAAGATTAAGAATTACGGTTTTGTTTACAATTTTCTTAAAGTCTTGTATCGCATTATGCTCTTTGTTAAGTATTATCTATATTAATTATCCTAAATCTATTTTTTTTCTTTCTAAAAATGATAAATCAGCTGTATGAATTCAGACAATACAAATAGTTTCGTCCATGTGAAAAAAGGAATTATAATAATTAAAATAGAAAACGCATATAAATGCTCGGATTAGGGTTCTCATTTGAGCATTTATCAAGTCTATTCACAAAACACCAAAACCCATCATTTTCATCATAAAAGTTCCATGAATATAGTTAAAATGGCAACTTTTTCATCTGAATTACGTTCAAAAAGTTTGCTCACTATATTTTTGACATACATTACGCATAAAAAAATATAAAAATATTGTAGAAAAAAATGTTTTCACGTTTTTTAAATGCTAACATTGCCTTTTTTAAGTATCTTCACGCAACTTTTATGATGAAAGTGACTGGCTTTGGTATTTTTTGGATTGAAGTGACAAACCCGAACTGCGATTAGGACATTTTAATGAGTTGTCCGAAGTTCTTGTCTACATCGGTAGAAATATGCTGAACAAGTTTTACTCTTGGTAACTGAGATTGAGATTACGATAAGAAAGCTGTTAGAATCGAAGCTAAAAACTGAAGTCAAATTTTCTATGATTTTTAGCGAATTATGTTACAAATCACATTAGTCAAGAGAGATGATCGAAAAAAACGTGACATTCGTTAGTTGAATTAATCAAAATAGGAGCATTTAGAACACATTTAGATTTAATGCGAAATAAATTCCGAAATAGTTTTTTCAAAATCAGGACCAAGACTATTAAAAAAAAACTTGGTCTCGCATATCTCAACGCTCTACCTATCTCTAATAAAAAATTTGTATCTTTTTTGAAATCCAATGAATTAAGTAATACTAACAGACCATTGATTGGGTTTATCTGAAAAAAGAAATAACATGAAAATTAGATTAAAAAAAAAATAGAACTTTTCAAATATTTCTTTTCATTAATATCAGTAATCTTTTATCTTTAAAATATTAGGATGAATATCTATTTGATTGTGATCTCAAAGATACTTATTGGATGGCTGCTCGTACAACTCCATCATCACCTTCTGAATTAACAGTTGTTTTGTATATAATTTATACAAATTTAACACCAAAACAACAAATTTCATCAAATATGAGTGTACCAGCTTTAAATAAATTTCCTATACCTCCAATAGGTAATAATCGAATATCAAACAGTTTAAAAAATAATACAAATAGTAATCAAATCAGAGAACGTGCTTCAACTATATTATCACCATCTATAAAAACCAATCTTGTTATACCAGTTCGATCAAGTTCATTTGGTTCAGAACAACATATTAGTAATAATATTCCCAATGAACGAAATGTTGAATTTTTCAAGTAAAGATAAAAAAACACAGATAAAATCAACGAATTCCAAAAATAAAAAATACAAACTTATGTTTAGATTAAAATTAACAACTATATTAAACAAAGCCTCATTATCACATCGTCGTGAAAATTTATGGGAAAGATTAATTGCTTCTCGATCTGATAATCCTGTAGCCGGACGTCAAGAAGTAATTTATTATTTTTATATATGTAATAAAATCTTTTATTTTTTATTTTTATTTTTAGATAGTACCAATACATATAAATGAATTTCAAGCATTATTAGATTCATGTATTGGTGATGAAACAATCGAATTAAAAGTTATAACTTCATTATTACAACGAGTATTTACTAATAAAGAACAATTAGAACGATTACATCGATTTTTACGTTTACGATATGGTTCACAATTTCATACGATTAATTCACCAACAATTAATTATCTAGTGAGAAGAGAAATGTTTTCTTTTTTTAAAACGATTTTTATATTAGAAGAATATTTCTTTTATATTTATGAATAGTAACAAATGCTACTAGGCATAAAACAAACAAAAAACTTTTGGTTTTCTATTTTCTTTTAGCTGATAGAGAGTAATATGTGAATGTTGAATAAAAAAAAATAAATCTTTAAACCTATTATTAGAGATATCATCTTGCTCCTAATAAATTTATGTTTTATGAACCCATATATCTATAATTACTACTCATCATTATGATAGTTAAAAAATGACACGAGGAAAATAAGGACAGATGAAGATGAAGTCATTGATATCATTTTCTCTTATATTGCGCGTCTATGAACTTTTGTTCTGTTAGAAAATATCAAATGTTTTATAATCATTTGTTTCGTAAAATCGATAAATTGACTAAAGATTGTATTGTAAAGCTTCGTGTACGATTGAACTTTCGGATTTAATAACAAATCGCAGTATTTATTTAAATTAGAGATGTACAGGTATGTCCGACCCTACAGATTAGGATAAGGTAAGAGTAGAGATTATACAGGATAGGATAGAGTAAGGATTAGAAAATTTCTCTCACAAGTATGACCATAAAAAGCCGTCTTAGGTCTTTAAATACTGATTTTCCGGAAAAAAAAACGTTACTGTTTCCTAGGCAATTCGACATTGTTTATTATCTGGACAGACCAAAATGAAAATTTTAACGAAATTTTTGTTAGTCAGAAAAACCAACATATGGAGACCGAAAGAGGTTTCTCATTGTTATATTCGAGATCAACATAGTCGATAACTTACAACTCACTAGCATTCCATAAGAAAGCGATTGATTAATTGAAAACGTTCCTTTGTCGGTCAGGGTACAGAATAAGATAAAAGCTTATCTTGTATATCTCTAATTTAAATATGAAATCAAGAAGATAAGAATGAAGACTGCCTCTTATGGGCCATAGCTTTCGTTTAGAACACTTCAAAAGATAAACGTCAATGACATTGTGTGCAGGGTACAAAAGACATCTATCGACCTAGGATGCAAACATTTCTTTTTGTTTTATTCGTACATAGATCTGTTTATCATAAACTTTCGAATATCCTATACTCAATAAATAAATCATTGACAAATAATCAAAAATAAAACAATCCATATAATAAATATAATTTATTTTAAGGTCATCTTTCAATGTAAAGCTCCACATCAATGCGATGCATTTCTTGTTCTTATCTATCGATCGGATCAAAATACTCTAGTAAGATAAATAAAATATTTATTTGAATTGATTAAAATTTTTTCTTTCTTATTTTTCTATAGAGATCTTATTTAGTCAAACATCGAAATGATATCGATTGTACAACATTTATACAAACATTTACACAAAGAATTACTTATTTTCTTTGGGAATGTTTGGTTTAGAACAAAACAAAAAAACAACATATCAATATAATAAACATTAATTTGTATTGTGAGATTTATATAAAAAAAAGAAAGAAAGAAAGAAAGAACGAGTTCTATAGTAGCAATCCAAATTGTATACTTAGGTGTATATATATATTTGATTAGAAGAAAAAAAAGAATATAAAGAAAGTGATTTAAACATTGTTTTGATTTAAATTCGACTTTTTTTAAATTTCGATAATTGTTTTTCAAATTCTGTTTCTTGTTGATTTAATAATTGAAATGTTAAACTATGTTCATCATCAATTGATCGTTCGAAATTTTTTTCATTGAAATTATTGTTTTGTAGAGCATAGAGTTTTTCAAGTATTTTCTTCATATCATCTGTATGAATATTATTAATAGATTCTATTTTTGTTTTTTTTTGAATAGGAAAAGAAATCAAAAAATAAGAAAAAAAAAAAAGAAAAACTATATATATGAAACTTAGTCAATTAAATTCATCACCTGTTTCTTCATCATTAATATGTTCAGCAACAGGTGGTAGAGCAATATTATATGTACGTCGTCGTGATATGCTTCTTTTGGTTGGTGGACGTTGAGTTTTTGATTTTGAACTATCAACAGATAAGTTAGAAGATAAGAATGTTTCATGTTGATCAGATAGACCAGCAATTGAAGATAATGTATTATCATATTGTTGAACACTAATTTGAGATGTACATGTTGATGTTGAACTATTTCCATCAACACTAATCGATTCATCTTCATCGGATATACCACTATGGCTCCATTTAGGATCGTCCCCTGGTAAAAAAAATAATAATAATAACATATTCAAAAGTAACGTATGTTTAACATTCAAAAATCTTAGAATTCGATCTTTGCAAATGATGATTGAAAATACTGATATTCAGTTATCTACTATCGCATGACTAAACGATAGCTTTTGAATTTACTAAAGATTTTCCATCACGCTATAGACAAGATCATGAAGATGTTAGCGCAGTTTCTGTAGGATTAAAATGTAAAACTCAATGTAGCTGTTCTTGCTAATCACAAGAATATTGCTTTATTCTATCTATTTTCAGACATATGTCTTCACTATCTTTCAGAAATCCAATACGAAAGTAGTTGATATATTAGAACGAGATGTTATTGACATACGGTCTTTGATCGAATATCAAGAATATCTGGCACGGTCTGTGAGAAGTGGTACAAATTTCTATCCTGGCATACTTCAATACTTCTTTCAGATCGTGTTTCACAAAGGAAACTTTTTGTCACATTGTATCAGAAAAGAAGTATTTTTTTTTAATTAAAAAACTATAATTTTGGCCAGAAAAAAAAGTCACAAATGAACGTCGTTATTCTCTTTGTTATACATACTCAACTAATGTTGTTATGTAATTCTTGATATTTAAAACTGTTACCCTATCGATATTGTTTCCAATATATGTGAAACTCAAACTTCTCATGTCTGAATGCGTTAACTAATAAAACTCTTGATAGAATAATATCTAATAGATTTATTATGATTAGAATTTATTGAATCGAAAAAACTTTGAAATTATGAGGTAATACATTTGAATGACTACAATCTTGATATAGAAAAAAACCAAAGTAACTTCTCTTCATTTTCCATTTTCATCATTTATAATACTTTAAAGATTTCATATGATAAACTAATACAAAATAATATTTGATTGAAATTACTATTAAACTTACATTCATCAACAATTAATTTTTTTTGACGTTGTTTCTTTTTTATTTCTGATTCATTATGTGGATTATTTAATGATCGTGGTGAAATATATAAATTTTGAATATTATTTATTTTTGTATTAGTATTTATTCTTTCAGATTGTAATGAATGACAATGACGTTTTATAAAATATCTTGGTAAATATGATTTTGGATGATATATATTATTTACTGTTCGATTATGAATAAGTCCTTGTTCTGGGAATTTTGGTGTCCATTTATGCATTGGAAGAAAATTATTTTGATGAATTAATTTTGAATTTAATATAATTGGTTTAAGAGTATTTTCACTAATTGTTTTAGAATAATTTAATGATTTTATATGTGGTGTAGCAATTCGATTATTTATTTTAAGTGATGATCTATCCGATACAAATGCCTGTGATACTTTATTTCGAAATATAAAATTTGGTGGAATTGTTAATAATAAATTATGTCCAGAAACATTTGCTACATCTGACCTTAATTGAATAGGAGAAGCATGTTCTATAGTCGAACGATTATGACGAATTAATATAGGTGATTGTCGTTCAAGTTCTTTTTTTATTGTTTGTGAACGATTATTATTATTATTATTTGTTGATTGTTCATTTAATTCAGCAAATAATAAATGTGGAGATGAAATAGATGTTGTTGGTAGAGTTTTGGATTTAATAGCGCATGTTGGTGGTTTTTGAATAGATGACTAAAATAATTCGATTAGAAATCTGAGAAATTTAAACAATGCAAAAATAAATCAAAAAAGAAACTCTATACTTTTATTATATTGAAAAGATAATGTCGAAAAAAAATATCGAAATATGAGACATTGTGTCTTTTCTATCTGTATAAGAGTTAGGCATGTACCGATTCATGAGGGAACCTCTTCTCCTGTTCCTTTCTTATTAAAATAACTTTATTTTTGCATATAGATACTACAGAATGTTCTGATAGCAATCCTAAAATGATTGGGATTTCTATTGGGATTTGACCAAACTACAGAATTTTCAATATGTTTATTTTATAAAGGTCCTCAATTTTCTAAAAACTCGTATTTTCGAATTTTGATCTGAAACTTTATGTACATGTAACACTCACGAGGGAACCTTTTCAGATGCTCTTCTCTGATTTGAATGACCTTTGCCTATAGACACTGTTCAATACTCTAATAAAAATCCTTAAAGAATTTGGGTTTCTATTACTTCCTTCAAAAGCTATAAACAGTTTTATTTTGTCTCTATAGTGTATCGCATGTGGTATGGACTCTAAATAGCACTACGATAAAAAGTGAAATATTTTCGCATTGGTTCAATTAAATGGATTGATTTTTTGATGATTGGTAGAAGTTTATTTAAAGTTTTTTTTTCCCTACAAATAAGGTAAGCAAAAAGCAATTTCATCTGTTATCAAGTAAAAAACAATATATGTTTAGCATTTCATAGGTGATTTTAAGTTGTCCTCTAAGAGAATAAGAAGGATAAGTCACAACGAACTTTTTCAATGATTCTGCATTGATATACATAAAACAAATTTTCAAAACTAATTAGTTTTAATCCTGAAATTCGTGCTCTATAAGTGAAACACACAATTGCAGCTCTTTGGGTATCAAAACCTCAGCTTTCTTGCAAAAACCAATATACTATATTTGAAAATTCGAAATTTTGTAACTGTAGACTTTTAAAATAATTAGTTTTGAAAATTTAGTTTATGTGCATCAATACAGAATCATTGATAAAGTTCGTTGTGACCTGTTCTTCATGTTCTCTTATAGTACAACTCAATATTATTTATGAAACGCTAAACATGTATTGTTGTTTACTTGATAACACATAAAACTATTTTCATGACACCAAAAATAATACTGAACAATAATATTTGCTTATCTTATCTGTATGAAAAAAAACTATTAATGAACTTCTCCCAAATATAAAAAAAATCAATCCATTTAATTGAACTAATGCGGAGATATTTCATTTTTCAATGTAGTGCCGTTTATGGACCACACTGTGTGCTATACAATATAGGAACAAAATAAAACTGTTCATAACTTTTGAAGGAAGTGATAGAAACCCAAATCCTTTAAGGGTTTTTATTAGAGCATTGAACAGTGCCTATGGACAAAAAAAATCATTGGAATCAGAGGGAAATACCTGAAAAGGTTTCATTCTCAGCTAGATTAATTTCCATAAAAGACTCAAAAGTTTTGAACAAAATCTCTTCGAGATATGAAGCTTTCAAAAAATTCATGTTATACACATTTTCCCATGGATAAAAATAGGTTTCTTTTCAAATATATCTTTTATTTTTCCTCTTGTATTACTATATATACATTTGTATATTATTATATAGGTAATAGAGTCAACTATATTTATTTACACATATTATATTTTATTTATGTATTATTTTGCTTTATTTTGTAGTTATTTCAAACTGATACAACTTGATAATATTGAGAGAATGTAAACAGTAATGCAAAGGAAAAAAAAAAATCTAGTTTAACCGGTTTTATTTCTAGAATAAAGGTAAGCCTAAATGTGTCTTTCATAAAAGGTGATTATTTTCTATAACCAATAAGCTTCACAAATGGTTGCCCACTCTATCATCAATAATCAATGAAGATGTAGTTATAAACCGAGGCGGCAATCTCACTTAAAGCTGTCGCTCGATTGTCCAAGCTACGCATACGTATAATATCAAATACATGCTCATCGCACACGACATTATTGTATATCATAATAATGGGACTGATACTGTGTGCATGCAGAGTTTAAATAGTCGAACAAGAAAAACTTTGAGTGAGATTGCTGCGTTGATTCAGAGCTACGTCTTCATTGATTATTGGTGATAGAGTTAATGGCCATTTGTGAAGCTTCTCGGCTACAGAAAACAATTGCTTTCCATAAAAGATATGTTTATCACTTTACAGCTGAGAATGATTAAATAGATTATTTTTTTTTTCTTTGTATCGCTGTTTGCGTTCTCTCAATATTATCAAGTTGCGTCATTTTCAAATAAATGTAAAATAAAACAAGATAATGCGTAAATCAGACATCATATGTGTATATAAATATAGTTGACTTTATTACCTAGATAATGGCGTACAAGTATATATATATATATATAGTAATACAAAAGGAAAAGCAAAAGACGCACTTGAAAAAAGAAACCTATTTTTGTCCATGGGAGAATGTATACAAGATGAATTTTATGAAAGCTTCATATCTTGAAGAGATTATGTTCAAAACTTCTGAGTCTTTGATGGAAATTACTCTGGC